AAAAAGCAAAATTTGATAATTATAAAGAAGATATAACTATAAAAAATTTTTTTTTACTTTATTTACATATATATAAATAGGAAAGCAAAATAAAGTAACTATAAAAAAATATAATTATAAACAAGTATAATTATAAAAAAATTTGACTGTATTTAAAATTATTATATTAAAAAATTCAATAAATAATAAATTTATTATTTGTTTTATATTTTCAATATAAAAATAAATACAATCAAACTTCTCTATAGTTACTATTCTCAGAAAAGCAAATTTTGATAATTATAAAGAAAATATGACTATATAAAGAGATTTTTTTACTATATTTATATATAAATAGAAAAGCAAAATAAGATAATTAATTATAAATAGGTGTAATTATAAAGAAATTATATTATTTATTTATAATATTTAATTATTATATATATAATAACTAACAAAATTATAAAATTATAATTAAATTTCTTTATAATTATTACTTTTAAAAAAGTGATTATAGAGAAAATATGATAATAAAGAGAATTTTTTTATTATATTTATATATAAATAGAAAAGCAAAACAGAATAACTATAGAAAGATATGATTATAAATAAATATGACTATTATTGTAATATGAATTTTTATTAATTATTTTGCAAGATAATTTCATAATTAAATTATAAATATCTTATATTTTATTAAAAGAATCTGATTATATGAAACAAATAAGTAAACAAGTAAATAAATAAATAAATAAGTAAATAAATGAGTAAATAAATGAACAAATAAATAAATATTAGATCAATAAAATTTAAGTGAACTAGTAAATATGAATTTATATATTAGCTCAATTATAATTTGAATATATATAAAAACAACATGTATTATAGTTATTAAAATTAGATTATAACAAGTTCTTGATAGTACAGTTAAATATCTTTATAGTTATTATTTTTGAAAAAGTAAACTTTAATAACTATAAAGAGAATGTAATTATAGAAGAGTTTTTTTTATTATATTTATATATAAATGAAAAGGCAAACTAAAATAACTATAGAGAGATATAACTATAAATAGGTATGATTATAAAGAGATTTAACTATAATAATTTTAATAATTATTTTATAGTTAATTATCCTTTACTTTTAATCATTCAAAAAAGTTCAATTTGCACTTTATGTAAAGTAAATAATCAAACACAAAATTCTCTTTATATTTTTTTAACAAAGTATATTCTTATTTCTTGTATAATCACTTTAGTATATTTGTCATAAGTATTATATAATTTTTGAATAAAAGAATTATTATTAATCTTATAATTTCTCATCTTAATTGTAAAGTTATATTAAAGTTATTAGTTTTATAATCTTTTATTATAATTATAAAATTATATTGTTATATAATAGAATTTCACATTAATTATTAGTCAAAATTATATTTGATCTTATTAAATAATTTTGAAAATATATATTTATATTTTATTTAATTAAGATCTTTATATTTATATTATTTTATATTTTCATAATATTTAATTTTTTCTATTTTTCTCAAAAACTAATACAAAAATTGAATCTAAAAATAAAACAAATTATTTAAAATCTTCATTTTTACTTAGTATTACAAGTCTATTATTTTGATCATTTTTGACTTTACTTATAAAAAGTTTAAAATTTTTTATATTTTAATATAATATTTTGTTTATTAAAAAATATATAAGTTTAATTATATTATTAAAAATTGTTTATTTGTAAAAAATCTAACTTTATATATAAATATTATTTATATTTTAAGTTTTATTTAGAAAATTTAGAAAATTAATTAATAAAAACTTAGTATATATTTATATTATTAAGAAATAATTAATTATTATTATAAAATTATTATTTATTTATTTATAAATTTTGTTATAATTAAATTATAATAATTTTAATTAGAATTATAATAATTTTAATTAGAATTATCATAATTTTAATTAAAATTATTATAATTCCAATTTTAATATTAATTAGCATAAAATCTCTTTATAATTACACCTCTTATAGTCATCCAATTTGGTTTTTCAAACAGTAATAACTATAGAGAGATTTGACTATATTGGATATATTTGATATTTTTAATTAAATTATAAAAGTATGAAATTATGAAATTATATGAATTTATTTAAATTATAAATAATAAATCACATATAAAATTATATATACAAATTACATGTAGAAATTATATGTTTAAATCATATATTATATATAAGTCATATAATTTCAAATTTGTTTAATAAGAATATAATAAATTAAATAATTAAATAATAAATAATTAAATTAAATTAAATAAATTTAATTATTAAAAATGTTAAATATAATAAAAGTAATTAATTATTAATAAAATAACTATATTATAGAATATTTGGATTATAACACTATATTAATAAAATACTATATTAATATCAAAATTACCAAATATAAGAATACAAAAATATATATAGTAGTAACTTAAATTTTAAAAATTTTTTTCATTTCACTTTAATATGAGTTCATTTTATTAAACTTTAACTATAATTTGAAATTTATATAAAAAATTTATTAAATAGTTTAATATTATTTAAATTTAATTTTATTTAATATTAATTAATAATAAAATTAAAAAAAAATTTTTAGAATATATATAATATAATATAAAAAGTATTTTAATTATAAAATTTCTAATAAATATCAAGAAAAAAAATCCAGAATATATATATATTAAACTATAATTTATAATTTTTATTTTGAAATAAAAATAAAAAATATTTATTAATAAAATTGAAAACTTTTATATAAAACAAAAATTTTAATTTTTACTATATTTTATTAATAAAATTGCATGTGTGATTCCAAAAATTTCAATTTTTACTGTTTTATTAATAAAATCACATATGTGATTTTATAATTCTGTTAGTCACTATATAAATTAAATCTATTAATAAAATTTAAAATATAAAATTTTTAATTTTACTATATTTAATAATAAATATATTATTTTTATAAGTTATTATAGATTATTTAAATTACTTGTTTATATTTACAAGTAAAAATAAATCGGGTTTAATAAAATAAAAATGTTTAAAAATAATTATTTCATAATTAAAATAAAAAGTATATCAAATAAAAAATATAAAAGTTAAAAATTTATTTATTTATTTATAATTTTCTGTATTATTATTATATATATATAATATTAAGTAATATAATTAATTGAATTAAAGCCAAAATCATTTTGATTACTATTATAATATAAATAATATTACTTATTATTAATTATTATTATTTTACTTATATATATTATAGTTACATTTTTAATGAATTTTATAGTAATATATTACAATAATTATTCTATATACAATTATATTTCCCTTAATGCATATTCTTGGAATTGGTACTATAAAATTCATCTAAAATGGTTAAAAGTGTGTGGTTTCCAAAAATTCAGTGCCCTATTTTTTGATGTGAGAATTAATTATTTTCACTGATCCACATCCCAATTACGGATAAATAAAATTACACACTGGACTGTAGTATTCACAATATTAGAATAAATAAATAAATAAAAGTTTATTATTCGTTAAAAGAAAGTAATACATGAAAAAATGCTAAGGTATGCTCACAACTTCTATGTCGATTCAATTTTATATAGTACATATTGTGAAGAAGGTATTTTCTACATAAAGGAAAAATAGTCCCTAATTAATGCTCCACATGAAGATCAATCTGATTCACCTTGGTATAACCATTACTTCCGTTATTGTTTAGATGATACACATATCCTTTTTCGTCTTCCTCGTCGTGTTGATCTTCTATTTGTGTCAAGACATATAATCGATGTGAAGCCTCTTCATCTTTTTCTGTGTCTTTATTGATTATAGGGGTACTATCGGGTAGGCTATATATATAAGTAGCAGCCAGCACTAGAGTGGAACCAGCCAAGAATGCTGTTGAAATACTGGTATCAGTGAAAATCCAAAGTGATGCCAAAAACGAAAGAATTATCGAGATCGAGGTGGCAAATCCTTTGAGGATATTATCAGCATATTTCACCACCAAAGCGACAATTATCCCACCAATAGCTTGACATACAATTGCAGCCCAGACAACCATATTATAACCGAAAAAGAATCCCTTTTCCGCAACATTAACACCATCTTTCCACCATACTCCCATGATCAATGCAGTAAATAATGAAAAGAATGATAATTGTATATTCCGAGTCCAAATAGATGCATGCGTCCCTTTTAAGACTTTCTCAAAATAAACACCAGCCATCCCAGAAATTACACAGGCGACAGCCACCGCACCAAGTCCAACAAATCTTTCCATGCTTTCATTGTCACCTTTCGTTGTCGAATTATTATCTGATGGTAATTGAACAAGTGCCACGCCTAAAGTAAGTAAAACCAACGAGAACCATTTCATTCCACTCAATGATCTCTTCAACAAGATAACCGAAAACAACGCGGTCGTCAAGATTTTGAGTTGATATGTCACCGAAAATGTTGCTGCATCTAGTAAACTTACCGCCACGTATTGTAAATTATTTTGTACCGTATAAAGTGCTGCCGGTATCAATAACTTCCAAGCGTCATTAGAAAATAAGTCTTGATATAAATCATAAATGTTTAATGAACCTTTCTCTGCAATCTGTATTCGTCCCGCCATATATAACGATATTAATAATTTGAAGAGTTCGGCTAGAAATACCGCGGTAGAGGCATAGAACTGTTGATCTTTTGGGACCATAACACGCGAGTGGTGCATTACCACCACCAACGTGCTATTTTGAACAACTAAAGTTATGAGGCTGACATATTTATAAGGTACTCCGAAGAGCGATTGCTTCGTTGACATTGTTAAGCAATTATATGCTTTTTATTGAAAGACTTGCCTTTTGGTGATTTCGTCAAACACTAAAAGCAAGTTTATTGAAGATCGATAACTAAAAACTTGGATATTTCAGAGATAACAATCCTTATAACTGTGAAAGTTGGAAAAAATAAGTATCACGAAACACTGTTACACAGTGAATTCTTGGCACCTCCTTTATGATATTGTATCACATTTAACACGCGAAAACCATTTACTCCGTTTAGTAAAATAATCCAGTATACCGCGCATCTAACATTTACCTATTTAGATAACTATCAATCAAGAGAAGTACGTTAGCATTATAAGAAAATACATCCAATAAATCGGACCAAAAAATTACCATTTGTAAATATGCATGGTTTTAATGGCAAAAGCTTCAAGATAAAAGATTTTTTTCTGCCCAAGATGAAGTCGATGTTCCTGCAAAACAAGTGTTCAGTAATTAATACAGGTTTTTCATGGATAAAAATAAAAAATCATCTATTGGTAAATAATCCTTACACAATCTGCAGCCTCCAATATTATTTGGCATTTTACATCCTCATGTTCAATATACTTTACCAATTCAAATGCCAATGTCTATTTTTTAAAGCAAAAATAGAAGTTTATCAGTAGAAGAAAATGTAATTAAATCCGCGAAAAAGATAGTTTCATAATAAAAAAAACACCTTTATAATTAGAGATGGCTCAATACATGAAAAGATAAGTTGATAAAACATTTTCCGAATTGATTCGAGACTTTAAAATAAATCGAGCAGATCTTAACCAATATCACAAATTAAAATTTTCAAATGGAAAGATCAAATATAAAAAACACATACTTTGTTTCGCTCTGATTTGCTATTATAGCTTTAGCTATGTCACTAATATAAACCTCCCAATCAAGTTTGACTATTGTGTCAGCCCTTGGGTAATCATTCCCACTTGTTAAATAAATAAAGCTTAATTATAAATAAGGTCCATATAATTTTCCAATATTATAATTTTTATGAGTTGAAAAACCTGGTAAATTTGAGCGATTCCAGCATTAATATCGCCTTGCGTAAATTTCCATCGGATTCTTCTGCAATTTTTTCGGCAACGGCGGAAGAAAGTACAAAATTCTCTTTGTTCGAAAAAATATGAAGGACCTTCATTACCTGAATAGAATTAAATTCAAAAAAAGCTTAATCATATCCTCAAGGAAAATCATTAACCAAGTCTAGCACAAACCTCAGCAACTGATGGAGCCCCCACTCTAACCAATAAGCATCTGCTCCGAATTGGTGAAATTATCTTGCTTGAACTATTACAACAGAGAATTACCCGCAAATTTGCCATATATTTTTCCATAGTACGGCGAAGAGCAGCTTGAGCATCATGAGACAAAGCATCCGCTTCGTTTATTACGACAACTGTTGTAATTAATTAATTAATTAGAATACTAGCAGGAGTTCCGTTAAATTAAAAAAAAGAATTATTACCCTTAAATTGATGTTTGGCATTAGAATCAAGCTGTGGTGTTTGTGCGATTTCTTTCAACAAGTCTTGAATGACGACTCGATCAGAAAATCCAACCTCACTGATAATTAATAATTGCGTTTCAAATTATATATTATTAATGAATCAATAAAAATATTAAGCTAATAGATAACCTTGGTGTCATTTCAAGATGGTAGATGCTAGAAACAGTATAAAAGGGTAATTTCTTGTTTGATGGTGTCTGGAATAACCTTTCTTCCACTTTGATCTGAGAGTATGCAAATCAGTTATAAGGTCGGGCAACAATCTTTGTGAATATGATATCGTGATGAGTTTCACTGACCTTTTCAACACCCTCACCAAACAGCTCCTTAATAACACAATTGATACGTGTCTTTTTTCCGGAACCGGATGGTCCATAAACTAGCAAATGTGGAAAGTCACCATCTGAAGCCTATTAATTGTGAACGCGCAAGTCTTAATAAATTATAGAGGGAACTGACGATATGCAAACTCAAAGACCCGTTATTGAGATAAGTATGATAATCCTCATTTGTATAGAAAACTAGTGTGACAATTTACGCCAGTGTCAACAAGGTCAACCTTGCCCATTTACCAAAGTTCCGAGTCTTTGTGATAAATCGCTGTGAAAACTCAGCTCATTTAGAGAGGTAGGTCGATGTCTATCTACCCATTGAAGAGCCATTTTGAAAAACAAGTAGAAGTTGAGTAAACTTGACAATATAAATCTGTGAATGCAAACGCGTTATTGCTTTCTCTTAAAATCAGATGATTCTAATTACGCGATTATATTTATTTTAAAATTAAAAAATAAAAAATCTTTAAATTGCTGTGCTGCAAACAGGCCCCAATAGCCTAATGGATATGGCGTCGCCCTCCTAAGGCGGAGGTTCTAGGTTCGAGTCCTAGTTGGGGCGATGATTTTAGATTTTAGCCAAACAAGGAAATTTAATGAAACACAGTGAAAAATATAAGTAGTTAAAAATGTGCTTGACAAGATCCGACATATCAAGATGATTTCTTCAAAATCACTTTTACTGAACATTCTTCGGACTTCGACGACGACATTATCTGTTTTACCTAGAGTTTTAACAAGTTCGCCTCTATTTAGCTCTAAAAGATTTACATCGTATTCGACCGGAAATGGCAATTTGCAGGATATTAACGTAATTGCTCTTTATAATTGTAAATTGTTTATAAACTATAAACCTAGGACTTCCTGTGCTGACTACTTGCGCTATCATCTTTTACAGCACAAGAATATTAGCGTCGAACTCTCAAAAAACCCAAAAACGCCTCTTCCCTATAAAGATTTAGTGTTTGGACGTTCTTTCACAGATCATATGCTTAACATTGAATGGGATAGTAAAATTGGCTGGTCGAACCCTATAATCAAGCCATATGGTCCACTTTCTCTGGATCCCAGTTCAGTCGTGCTACATTATTCTTTTGAATGTTTCGAAGGAATGAAAGCTTATAAGGATAAACAAGGAAAGATAAGATTATTCAGACCGGATATGAATATGAAGAGACTCGTCAAATCTGCCAACAGAATAGCACTACCGGTAAGTTTCTATATACTTTAATACTTTACAACGTTATTGTTTAATATATATTAAGGCAGAAAAAATATGTGCAAATCATAAACAAAGATATCTGGATGCATCTGATTGCAAGCTCTAAGATTAGGAGAATCACGAATTTACCTTCGATAATTATCCTCAAGGGCTCTTATAATGAATGAGAATAATATAAGTTGGTATTTCAAATCCAACTACTCAACTTTTTGAATTTCTGTGTCTTACTACGTATTCTTTAATCTTTTTCTTTCCTTAGACTTTTAATAGCGAAGAATTGGGTGAATGCATCAAGGAGCTTATCCGTGTTGACAAACATTGGATTCCTCAAGAACGCGGATATTCATTATATATTCGTCCCACATTTATTGGGACACAGGCATTCCTCGGTGTAGGACCAACATCGAAAGCTCTTCTCTATGTGATATGTTCCCCTGTAGGACCATATTACAAAACTGGTTTTAGTGCCGTAAAATTATTGGCTACCACTGAAAATGTTAGAGCTTGGCCTGGTGGTACAGGCGATGCTAAACTCGGTGGAAATTATGCTCCTTGTGTGAAACCACAGATTGAGGCAGCCGCTAAAGGTTATCAGCAGAATTTATGGTTATTCGGCAAACACGATGAGATTACGGAAGTGGGAACAATGAATTGCTTTGTCTATTTGAAAAATGAACATGGTGGTAAAGTATATTTATACTTGGATATCTTATTAGCTAGTATTTATGTTTAATATTTGATTGATTGGCTATCTATCTAAAAATTTTATTTGAAAACACAAGAAAACGAATTGGTTACCCCGCCACTCGATGGTTCCATACTCGCTGGAGTGACACGTGATTCCATATTAAGTCTCGCTCGATCATGGAACGAGTATCAAGTGTCTGAGCGCAAAATAACAATGCTCGAAATTATACAAGCGTCAGAAGAAGGTCGATTACTCGAAATGTTTGGTTCAGGCACTGCGTGTATTGTAAGTCCCATCAAAGAAATTCGATATCGAAATCTCGATATCAAAGTGCCTTTGGATCCGAAAAACCCATCAAGCAATGCTGGCCCTGTCGCTAGAAAATTTGCGGATTTCTTAATGGGTATTCAATACGGTGAAATACCGCATGAATGGTCTGTTATTGTTGAAGAGTGAGCGGTCAGTCACGTGTATGTAGAAAATTTTTTTGGCAAATAGATATGAGCGTATAATCACGATAATATTCACGCTTCAATTAATTGTGCTAGTTCCAATGGTTTATTAGATTATCGGATATTCAATTCCAATGTTTTATTCGACTAATTATCAGATATTCAATGATAGATATGTATTATTCTGCATAATCCTTAACGTACATAATACATAGATCTCTTACTACGTTAACTATTAAATAATCGAGAGTACAATTTATCATGCCTTCCTTGAAAAATATCTAACAAGGGTGATGTCTGTACAGCTTCCTCAGATCTATGATTCTTTGTCTTTGCCAAAGCTTCCTCTACATACACTTGACTCTCAGTTAACACACGTTGTGAATAATATGGGCCAATGATGTTGAGCCGCACGGCCGCAGACAGGATTGCTCGCGCAAAAAGAAAAAGGAATAAATGTTGTGCACGTTCTATTAGAAATCAACCAATATTAGAAGTCAGATACAATTAAAGATTCAAACGCATCTTTGATTTCCTATGCAAGATGAAGAAACAAATCAGAGCTGATTTTCACGCAAACTCACCTAAACTTATACCAAGACAGCTAGCAACAATCCCAAAACACACAGGTAAATGACCACATGCTATTCCACGTCTTATCTCGAATTTAAATTTTTCTAAGATCTTATCTAATACTGCATCACTGGATTCCCCTTCCTTCGAATCCTCGCCGGAAAAAGACTTTCCAAATAATGTTAACATGGCAACACCTTGAGCTTTAGAAGCTCGCTTAGCAACTGTATTACTCGTGCAAGCATCATATAAATCATCAAAATTCATTATTTCTCGCAATAATTCTTCCTCTTCATACACACACTCCCCATTTACGGCTGCATAAGATACCTTCCAAGCATCGCTCATGAAAGGTAGGGCGGAATACGCGTAATTTGTTATACTCGAAGAGACAAAAAGTGAAAGCGAGGCAGCGTCATGGATGTACCCTGTTTGTGCTGCAGACTCGAGCCCAGAAGAAGCAACGAAGCCTCCAGTTGGAAGTGCCGAATCGGCGAATTGCCAAAGAAGCCAATCTTCACGAGGATTAAAAGACATGTTTATCCGAAATGTGTGGAAAAAAATGTCAGCCAATCATATCGAATTCGTGTATAAAGACCTTTTAGTGATTTTGAAACGGCAACAAATATGAATTTCTTGAACAGTTATGCACATGTTACCATCAGAAGACCGTTTCGAGAAAGACATTTTGAACTGACACCACACAAAGCTGATAAATACCGTAGACGAGTGGAATACATAGAGAACAAACGATTCAATAGTCGTCAAGGAAAACTACTCGATTTTTCTTTTATGGCTCTGACTGGGAGTAATGAATACAACCTTCACAATATTTGAATTGAATGTTTTTTATTAATATCGAAAAAGTACTGAAATAGTTGGTTATTGTGCTCAGCTGTTGCTTTATATACAGTTTTATTTGCAGACTTTGGCGAACGAGACCATTGTTATACTCCGGTACGCGCGTCATTTATCGCTTGTGATTTGCTTTTACCACAATAAATATTAAATCTAATTATTAACAATATAAAGCTGAGAAATTGGGTGGCGCAAAAAACGAATAGGTTATGGACATTGAGCGATAAAGAAAAGCAAGAATTAAGAGAACAAGGAAAGCTCAAATGAATTTGTATATTAATTCAACATATAATCATCTATCATTTATTGCCTCTTTACTGTCTAAATAAAATAAATAATTAGAAAACAACAACTTAGCTTACCTTGGATATATCCAGAGTTTCTATTTTCAATAATAAAATTATTATACAATAAAAATACTTTACAGTCAAAAAAAAAATCAAACTTCAAGTCGTGAAGACGGTCCATCATTATCGCTGATTAGAGATCCTACCACGCATTTATCAAGCATAAACTCATAATTTACCCATGAATGTATAGACACTAAAAAGAAGCCAAAAGATTAATAAAAAATCCGTTAAATACAAACAAAAAGCTTTTCTATTACTTACTGAATAATTTTGTCCCATCCCGACCTGCGCAACGCATTAATTCTTTTTCCCCTCCTGGATGAAATTTGAGATAAGGTGTAATATTATATATTGTGCCATTCAATGCTGTCCAGGCATCACTTTCTGTTCTATGCTGCCTTAATTCTTCCATAGTGTACTTGCGTAATCCAGGAACTCCCTAGAAAAGATCATAACACTTATCAATATTATTGGATTAAAAAAAAGCTTTATTGCATATGATAATTAAAGAATACCCTAAGATCAACGCCACTATTTTTTAAATTCGCCCAATCTAAAGTCGAGTGACCTGGTTCCAAAGCAACTTTCTGACGCTTTTTGTTAGCTTTCTGTAAAGGCGTAGGCTTACTGGAAGTTGACATGGTTGTTAGTGAAGACGAAACAATTGTTTTTACGCGTTGTGGTCCATCAGGGAGTGGGAATTCCAAAGGAGCATCATCATCGTCATCGTCCTCTTAAAGACTAAAGATTTTATTTACTTCTGAATGGTAAATTAATTCAGCAGAAAGTAAATCTTAAACATACCATTGGAGCCCGATATAGTCATTTGCGGGATGGATGTCTCTAAATTGCTAGTAATTACTCTGCTAGATAAATCGTGTTCATTTTCGGTCGAATCATTATTCTCCTTTATGTCTTGTGAAGTATAGGAAAAGAAGTTCGAAATTTGCGAAAACATTTTTGATTCACGGTAGAGTTGCTAATAAAATATAAATGTTCATACAATAAATACGTGTGCCAATACTGAATGTTACACGAACAAGAATCCTACCAATTTCTCTTGACCACGTTATTGATTAGCAAACCTAAATATTTACAATACAAAATTCTGATAATTTATTCTCTCGGCGTTTCATTACTCTGATTTTGACTAAATTTTGTTCGTGTCTCTCGTTTGAACCGGTATATATCTCAAAGTAAAAGAAAGATGTGGCTTTCAGATACACAAAGTAAGTTTTGTTAGGTTTGCTTGCAGCATTGATGTTTTTTTGCGTGGGTGACGCGAAAAAGAAAAAAAATCAGAAACCCTTAAATAATCCATTAAATTCATGCAGAAATTGGTGTCGGGCTTACAGCTTTTGGTGTATTTTTTATGTTTGTCGGTGTATTGTTATTTTTCGATGGAGGTTTACTGGCAATAGGGAATGTAAGTTATCCAATGTTGTTTCTTGAACTCAGCAATTTTTTCAGTTTACAAATTAATCACACATACGTCAAGATGATCTTAAACTTACGCGTGTCATATCAATGTATAGCCGATATTTTTTTGACAATAATAATAATCTATATATAATCGATGAATTACTACTACAGATTCTATTTTTAAGTGGATTAACATTCATAATTGGATTTAGCAAAACGACAAATTTCTTTGCAAGAAAGAATAAAATCCGGGGGACATTATGTTTCTTTGGTGGAATACTTCTAGTGTTCTTGAAGTGGCCCGTCATAGGAATGTTAATTGAATTATTTGGATTCTTAAATTTATTTGGGTATTGTTTCATTCTCATCATTGATTAATATTGGACACACTCTTGAGTCGTGCTTTTGCTAATAACGTGATTTTTTTATATTCATATAACAGTGATTTCTTTCCAGTTGTTGTGGGTTTCCTACGAAGGTTACCAATAATTGGTAATCTACTGAATGCACCGGTTATAGCGCATGTAAGGAGATGTCATACTGAATCTTCTGATTATTATTTTTTGTATTCATCATACTAAATACGCAATTTGGAATTAGGCAGTGGATAGGTTAACAGGATCAAAGCTACCAGTTTAATAGTTGCAGCGGTAGAAAATAGCTGAGTGTAAAAAATAAATTATTCGCTTTTTATTTTTATTTTTATAATTAATATGTATATTAGAAATTTAATTCAAGTCTATATTGTCTAAAGTTGATAAAGTTTTTGCAAAGCTGGTGTTGGGGTTTTTCACCTAAGATGACGTTATCACGTTGGACGACATTTCACTGGATACGCCGCGTTCGATAAATCTCTTGGATCGTTTTCTAAATTTTATGAATTATTAGATATTTTGCGCGTATTACGATTTGCAAATATATATCATGTGATTATATGTCATGTGATCATGAAATCTATCATAGTGTCCCCATAAGTATCATTTTATTGACGAAAGCATTAATTAAACTCCAGAAACAATCCTCAGTAAACCGAATTTTTTACTAATAATCCGACCACTTCGTTATATCGACGTTTGACTGTCAGAAATTTATAAATTTATGAAATTAAGAAAAAAAATTTACAATTTTAATTAATATATATTTTTTTAATATTTAATTTAACACAAATAACAAGCATACACATGAAATTGGAAATAAAAAAGCACACGCGACAAGAATCCACTTCTCATGGTAATGAAACCACGTTCTTTCTCAGAAAAAAAAAGATTGTCAAAAACTTTAAAAATTTCCACGATTGTTTCGGTCACAATTTAAAGTCGTGATTATATAAAAAATAATGCAATGCTCCTTTTATATGCCAATAAACAACCCTCTTCAAAAAAAATTACTAATGACTTGTTTGAACGCTATTTTATTGACAATATATTAAATTGATCGATTTCAACAAAAATTAATATTTCTACTTACTAGAAAGAGTAATAAATATTGACACTTTACAAACAAAATGTTGCTGCATAAAGCGCATATTATTTTTTTATCTTCAACCTTTGTACAACATCCTCGTGCAAACCGGATAGACTGTGTAGTGATGGTTTTGTTATGCATCTTTGTCTATTTCTACGAAGATCTTTTGGTTGTTGAAAGCTTTGACAGAGAAGGTTGAAACATTGTGCATTTATTCACTGATTGATTGAATGGTTTATTGATTGACGATACACGACAGAAAGAACGAGCGTGGGCGTTTTAGGATAAATGTGATTTTCGGGCATTTGCGTGTTTACATTGTAGTAAGTAAAGTAGGTCGAATCTTATTGTTCTTCAAAAACTTATTGTTCTTTCAAGAGTTCAATTAACTATTCTCATTGTTATTACGCTGATTTTTTTGGGAAATTACAAATTTTTCATGTTTAAAATTTATTTTAACCTTTTGAACCAGATGCAAATAAAAATGCGTCTCGAAACAAAGTTTTCTCTTCGGAAGTTTGTTTCACGTATTTTTTATTTTTTATGCTTAGTTTGTTTTAATATTTCAAAAGCTCATGACGTTATTTGTTTGTTTAATAATTGTTGTTGTTACTATTACTATTATTGTTATCATAATCAATGCTGTCGAGTTTTTCCCAAGCAAAAGCGTTTACTACAAATTTGTATTCAGCCACCGTGCATTCAATGGATGTGTGACACTAGTCAAAGCTTTTGAGCATTCATCTTTTGCATAATCATGTGTCTACGTTTTCTCAACTTTATCTTATATGTTTACTCTTTAAATGAATTATTCCTCGATTATCTTTCGCCTAGAGATAATTAATTTGTGCTTCCGAAGTTTTAAGCAGTGATTGCTGTAATCAATCGAAGAAAACCCGAGATTCACAAATTCATTTCCCCGCTGATTTCATCATCACCATCTTCACTTTGCATTGATTGGCTTCAGTGTACAATACCAGGAAGATAATTCTCGTCTTGCATATCTGTGGAGATTGAAGGCTGCCGTGTATTCAGCACAAGCGTATAGATCTCTATTTGTTTTGATACCTCTGAAAACCTTGCTGGAGATTTTACGGACTAGTCCAGGTATCAAATATGGTTATTTTAATGCTATGAGTGTACGGTATCGTGATTTATTATCATTTAAGGTTATTAGCATGTATACGTATGCGTATGCGTATGTATATGTAGATGTATATGTATGCTTAAAACAAAATTTTAAGTGCATTTATTCATAAAAAAAAGAGGAACAATTGGATTAAAAACAATCGACAATGTGAAACTGGTAAATGTCAAGTTTCCTGATTCCCCAATGTTCTCGAATAGTGAAAAGCAAAATTTCCAGTTAAAACAATGGCGAAGAAAAGGAATACCATTTTCATTGTATAAAAAGTTCATTTTTCTTTACTATTTACCTACAATACGCTACATTATCGGATGTATCTATCAGATATTGAAATGATACAATGATAGGGATACGCGTTGTCAATTTCTGTTTTTCTAAAAAATCAATTTGGAGCATGTGCAAAAACGACCAAACACGTAAAGTTTCTGCATAATTTACTGTCAATCGGTATCGCAGGGTTTCTTTTTACGGAAGTGATTGATTGATTGTTTACTGGCTGCCTCAGCCAGCTTGCTTGTCAAAAATGAATTTTTTTACAATCGATTATTTATTGTGCTGCAATGATGTGATCAGAACCCTAATACTTGTTTACAAACCGGAATGTTTTTTATGTGTGTAATAAATAGGGAAATTTTTGAGCAGCAAGTAATGAATCGGCGACAATGAACAATGGACGATGGGATTGACGTATGGTATTGTATGTGATACGGGGGTAGGGCAACAATAACCAATATTTATTACCTAGTGCTAAATGCAATATTATTATTAAATACGTCTCTTAGAAAAGAAACGAGCATACATATTAAATTTCATCTTATGATAGCGGATAGATAGATGCATTGCTTTTTCCATTGTTTATTATTAAGGATACATTATGTATATATATATGAATTTCTTGAATTTTATTTCAAATGCAGGCATCATGTATTCTTGCATTTATTCATCCATATTGACAGTTCTTATTCTAGCAGGAATAGCCTTTATTTATTGCGCAATGCGTCAAAAATTATTTAAATTTTCGTTGTTGTTGCTGGAACATGTGATGTTTTGGAAGCAAGCAACAAAAAGAGATTGTTTTATGAAATCACTGTAATAGTCAAACATCCGCGTGTCATAGCAGACACGTTTTCGTCATTTGTTTCAAAGATCCAGCAAAACTCGTTTTCATGAGAACTCGAGCATGTAATAGATATCATTTACTTTGTCATATTCAAGCTTATTACAAAAAAAGTCAAACTGAATATTCACAAATAAGCTATTCATCAATAAACTAAGCAAAAGTGCACATAAACACACGGGAAAATGAGATAAGACATTATGCAATGATGCAAGAAAACCAGAAAACAATACTATAATCGAATGCAGGATGTGAATAATCATTAGGCGGGAAATTCGTTAGAGCAGGGAGGAACCGTGCAATTTAATAAAGATAAGCATAAATATGCGATAACTAATTTCCCATATGCAATCAATAAAATGTGTTCAATGATTTTATTGTTTCCAAATTTTGATTTCAGCTTCTTGTTAACGAGTAGAATTCTTATTCGTATTTTCTTTGTCTCTTGTTTTTGCCAGAATTATATTCTTATGGGCGCAACTTTTTCCTTATAATACTATATTAATTGTTATTATTCTTAAAAAAAAAACGCGTCAAATATGCTAAGAAGAGGAAATTCACTAACTCACACAGACACGCATCCATTGATTAATGATTGTCAAATATTTACGCCATATCGATATCTTTATACCAAAAAGTTATCGTATCTGTTTTCGTTTTTATTTAGCAAGCATTATCTCATTATCGTCATAATCAAGAAGCATCGGAGAGCATTCACCATCCGGTAATACGACCGATGAAACTAAATTTGGATGGGCTGTAAATGAAGCTTTATATTAAACTCATTACACGTCATCCAAAAGCGACTAATTGTGAATGCTATACCTGTCAAAAAAAGTGTGGTCAGTTCCATTCTTGGATTAAATTAACAGGGAATGAACATGTTATTCGTGATGATCAAAATGACATAACTCTATAGATCCAGCCATAATCAATCCGCTTGTGACTAATTAAGGAGTAAGCTCGCGGTACTTACTGCTGTGGTAGTAGACACAATCTCTCTATATCATTCATTTAATACCAATCTTTCTAATCTCTACCACATTTTTCCTTATGATTGCTGCAAGTCTGATGCATATCAAGATTTTGTTCTGCAAAAGTATTAGATATTGTGCAAGTTGCGTGCATGATGAAGAAAAAATTTTTATTGGGCTGAAACTTTGGTAAATATATTTGCGGGGTGAATAGAAATAATAGTTTTATCGATATTTATTTTACCCCGCATTCTATCGGTCGAATCTTTTCCGTATATATATTGGGATATCCGGTCAATCCTAATGTCCAAATACATAGTGTTCTAGAGTATTCTATAGGAAATAAATCCTGAAGATCCCGTAATTCCAAATTTTTATTTTCCTTTGTCGGAAAACAATGGTTTCTGGTCGATTTCTTTCGAGTTCAACTTTGAGAGAACAATTGCACTACGAATAAACAAAAAGCCAGTCATAACAGAGAATCTCAAGCAACTCGCATACATACATACTTTTCATTATTCTTCTTCTCAATAATACAATAAGAATAATCGCCATCGACATAATTGTCAGAATCATTGACACGCAAGACGTAAAAACAATTGGATATGGAAAAACATTGAGTTATTCGTTTACCGAAACAAACAACAATCAAAAACAATGAATCAATTCAACGAGTCGTAAACAAAAAAGCTTTCCAACAAATTCGCCGAGGAAAAGGGTTTTTTAATAACATTTTCATGTGTCACAAAATTTAAACGAATTCTGTTTGTGTTGTGTGTGTAAAGAAAAGCATAAGTAAAACACGAAAAGTAAAATATTAACTAATAGAATAATAAAATATATAAATTTTTTTTTAATTTTGGTTGCCGACTATTTTTAGGCCGAATTATTTATATTATTTAATATATACATTACTTAATTGGTGTACAAGTTTTCTTAATTATGTCGAAGAATTTGTCAAATTTTCGTTTCACACGCGTCTTTCGTAAAAAAACACAAACAAATATTCCCGAATTGAAGATAAATTTCCATACACCATTGTTAAAAATTGTCTAACTAATCAGCAATTAAACTACCACGTATCAATAAATCTATAGACGAGCCAAACTGAAGTTTGCAAGTCACATGTCAATAATTGTGTAGAGGCATCTAAAGCAAAGAAAGGAAGAAGTTAAACCTCCTGAAAAGGAAAAGATACGAACAATAGAGCACGACTCGGCCTATTGTTCACTTCCTGGTTTTTTTATGATGAATAAGGCTTTGTGACAGCTGTCTAATTAGTCGACGAGAAGATGAATACTCTGCATTGCAGCAGCAGCAGCGGTTGATCCAATTGATGATTATTATCTTATTATTATTGTATATTTTGGTTTTTTATGTCATGTATTTAATTGTCATTGCGTTTTATGTAGGTGTGTTGTCATTTTCGCTATTGTTTTTGGGTCTTTTGCTATTTCTAAATTGATGATTTGCTGTTTCATTTCGTTTCGTTACGTTACATTCGGTTTCCGTTTCCGGTTACTTCAAATTTCTGTCAAAATGACTATCAAAAAATACTAGCGAAAGAGCTAATATGATGACATATGGAATAACAAAATATCAGGTATTATGCAGGGTTGTTTACGAAGAGACCATTATTGATTGAAATTGGTAGAGCTACTAAACAACAATAATCACAATAATCATTACAGCAAAATTTGCAGCAGAAACAACATTTTTAACGATTGAGAAGCAAAGAATCATGGTCGACCAATTCTCTTGCAGTTCGACTTCATTGTCTATTTCTCTCGCACCCGCGCACGTTCTCTCCTTGTTCTGTTTCTTCTTCGTTCCACACACTATTATTAAAACTCTATCTGTGCATAATTTTATTACTTTCTAGCATACTTAATCAAGCAATAATCGTTAAAGTAAAAAAATGCAGCGGTAACGAAAACAGTAATAAAGAAAAAAAAACAATTAAATAATGCATTAATTATCATAATGATATAATAAATAATATAATTAAGTATAAATTAATTTCGTTAAAAAAATACCGATGATAATGACAAAATGATATCGTTATTGTAACGAATTAGTCAATAGTTTAGTATATAGTTGATTATTATTCGGTACATCAACCATTCAAAACTTAATTGTCATCGTAGTCAAAGTGTTCTAGTTGTCGTCGTCGTCGCCTTTTTCCTAACCAGGCGACTTACATCGCATAGCTTTGCGTCGTGTACAAGTCGTATCATCCGGTGAAAAGTATACAACATATTTTTGGCATTGTACTTGATACAAACGAAACGACACTTCCATACGTTCTCACGAAAATCTTAATATAATTTAATAATAATAATAATATTATTATTATTATTATTAATAAATCTTGAATTATTAAATATAATTTAACTAAACTACGTATAATATATGCAGTAGTAGTAGTGGTGGTGGTAGCAGCAATATAGACAAGTACAACATACATATATATAATACACGCATACCAACAACAAAAAAAAGAGATTAAATAAATAAATAAATAAATAAATATATACAACAAATAACACAACAATACAATAACAATAACAGGCACAAGCACAAAACCAAAACCGACGACTACGATTAAATTGAAGCTCGGGCAAAGATAAAATGATTCGGATTTTCCAACTTTGAACAATTTTTTTTCTCTTTTCTTCTTTACCTAATTCTCCCTCGAAATTCATTATCATCTATTCACATTCACACTAATTCTCCATTTCATTATACTTTTCTCTTAATCGTTTCTTCCGTTCGATTAACGACGAAAATTTCATATCCTGGAACTTTTTATGAACCCATAATTGACGCCGTACTCTTCACTATTATTAATTTCTTTTCTTACTCGCCCTTATTCTAGTAATATAAATATTTATTTATATACACAACTACAAAATTCGTATTACACAACATTTTTAGTCATCAATATAATACGATAATCAACAATAATGGGTTCAAGAAATTTGCAGTTTGAAATTCTCGTCCTTCCAGAGAATCAACGTGAAAATCACAATGTGAATTCTACTAGTAGTCAAAATCAGAATGTAATTTATAATATTAATAATAATCCTCCGCCACAACAGCAAGTTCGCTACGAGACAAAGGTTCAAAAGTTCAAATGCAGTCAAGAGAATTTATTAGCTTATTGGATTCCAGATGGATTTCGTGCTGTGCTGATGCCCAAAAAAGATCTTCATTTAGTCCAGCAACCACAACAGCAACTATCCAACAATCTACCATCGTCACCAGCTAATAATGCCCAGCAAAATTCTCACGTGATAAGAACCGCGTCTGTATTTAGGCGACGAAATAATCCAATGGGAAATGGTCGTCCAATGCGACAGATCACAGCGCTCGATATATATTATTTACAATCGCGTAAATCATCGCCTAATGGTAGTGCACTTCCGGTCAAAACAGTGTTTGATATGTGGCACGCGGAGCCGGAGGATGTGAAACGCAAATACAAACGTCTAGCTCTCAGACAGCGAATAGAGTTAGGACTTCGATATAATAATACATCTCGACCACCGTTAAAATCGCAATTGATGATGAAATCGAATTCAGCTTCGTCAGGATTCCCACAAAATATGCAAACGCCTGCTTATGATCTCAACAATACCACCATGTCATCCAATATAATGAAAGAAAATATGCAACAACAAAATTGTAGGACAAGATTCTATAATTATGGGGAGCGTACTGTTCCAGTCAGACAGGATTCTTCGGCCTCATCCGAATCCGAGGAAGACTCGGATGACGCGTTCTACGCAATACGAAATAATCATCATGTACCGTCATCTTATGCTAGTGATAATGAAGAAAATTCCAACGACTTACTTTAACTCACCAACCTTCTCACCAAAATCAATTTCAACTAAATGACAATAATCACATAATTTCAACTAAATGATGACGTCTACTCTATGAAATTCTCAAGCAAACGTACACTTTACCCTAAGTCTTTAATCGGATTCACTCTAAGCAAAAAAAAAACTTTCAAGATCAATTAATTTAAGCTAAATCAAAAAACTCTCACATTCTCTTGCATTTGCTTTCTTGACCCGAACGCAAAAATTTCATTCATCATCATCATCATCATGCGACTTATCGTTTCGAATCATTCATAACTCCGAAACATTCAATCAATACATTTTTAAGGACGTCGCGAACCCTTAAAACTTACGAGATATCAAGATCATTATCGATTTTTCGTCAAACGAATTAAAATCAACATAAAATCAACAATATCGAATTAAATCTTTATTCGAATAACGAATTAACAGCAGCAACAACACCCTTTTAGAACTGCCGAAAATCAACATATACGCGTCTAAATTGAGCGTTGTCTCTCCAATTATAAATTCCACTTTATTTATTTATTCACAAACTTAGATTTTTAAAAGTATACATATTACGATTTTCTTATTCACATAGAGCATTTTTTCACGCGTCAAACGCGTAAAAATGCACAAAATTCTTGTTAAATATTGCTTTTTTTTTTACACTTGATTTTCCTTAAAATTTTAATGTTTGTTGTGCACAATGTATATATAAGCTGGAGGTGTTGCTTTTGTTTTGCGATACAGCTATATATAAATTTTGCTCCTTGTAAATATCAGCATTACTTTCCCCTTTGTATATACATGCAAACATTGTAATTCTTGGGAAAATCACTATATATATATATTTATGTATACACTTTTTTCGTTTTTTACCTTTCTCTCTTCGTCTGATTAATCATTCACTCGAAGCAAAAATACACATCTTCTTTTGTACAGATACATTTAGAATTAAAATATATTCGTCGTTTTCTTTCTCAAGAAATTTTATTTACGCGCTTTTTTACTTCTTCTTTTTCTTCGATATTAAATCGTCTTGATGGACTCCCTGTGGGAGGGGGGAAAATCGACGTTTAATTCGTATTTTTTTTTCTTTTGAATTTTCTTCGTGAGCTTTAAAATCTTTCTTTAGTCCACGTTTTCATCTAAAAGAAAAATCAAGTTCGCTAAACACTTGCTTTACGGGGTCAATTCATCAAAATTTTTCACTTTTTTATCTTCTTTAAGAGAGAGAAGATGGGAGAAAGCTAGCACTTTTTTTCGAATAAAAAATATATCAAAATTCTTATGTTTTTCTTTATATATATACTTTTGTGTCACACTATTTTACAGTATAAACTTTTTGTTCTCTTTTTCTTTTGTTTGTTTTCTTTTTCTTTTGTACAGTATATACATTTTCTTTTTCTTTTGTTCAAAAAAATCTTTTTTAAAAAAAAACACAATGATCCTTGTTTTTTCTTGCTTTTTTCTATGATCATATATTTCTCCGAGAAAAAAGCAGCTTATTTTCTTCAAAATCTTAAAAAAATAAAGTGCAGTTACATAAGACCTTTAAGGTCTTATGTACCTTTATTCTAACTACAGTCAAAACACAAATAACAAACCTGTTGGCCCGTGCTTATTTTAGTGTATACATGTGTGAGATATTCAGCCTTAGAGAATTGGCGTTTTTTTTGGCTTGAAATTTTTAAACTTTGGTTACAATGTACACGCGACGAGGCCTTTGAATGTGTTAATGGGAATATTTCAATTAGCTGGTACTCTACTTAATATTTTAATCTAATATCATGAAAGTATCTTTTTGCCGAATATATTTTACGTATAAATTAATGCTTGTATTCTAATTCAAATATGCAGGTTTAAACGCGCAAAACATGTCATTGAATAGACAGGAGTATGTGTTACTGATAATCGATCATTAAGTAGTATCTTCGATTTCTACCCCTCGCTCCTCCATCTGATAGATACACTAGCAAAAATATTCGTTATTATTTTTTTGAAATGCTTGAAATTCTATAAAACCGGTTTTTAAAAATGATTGGTCCATATTGTTTGTGAAATAGCATGTATTTATTGTGAAAACGCGTGTGATGATCAATTTTTTTGAGAAATTGGTGTCTCAATCTCCAGACTTGAATCCTATTAAGCACTTGTAGAATAATTTTGAAAGAAGAATTTGCAACTGATCTTTGCATCCAAGTAATCTTGGTGATTTTGAAAAAGCATTGCAAGAAGAATGGGTTGCATTCAAAAGCGAATCAGAGAATGTATAAAAACAAATGGAATCCCACAATATATTAAAAATACTATTCAATAGTCAAAGAATTTTAACGAATACTTTTGCTAGGATAGTGTACATCTAATATATAATATTATAACTTGATAGTTGGTCCAACCCCCTCCCCCAAAATTAGGTGATAAAAAAAATTTCACTTACTGTTACATTCTAAAAAGATATTACTATTTTATATTCAAGCCACAATTAGTTTCTACTTATGCTAATTATGAAACTAATATAGGTTACTATAGAGTCCACCCCCTCCCCGCCCCCAGGTAAGATATTTGAAACATGTGACTCTATATATAAGACACTGTCAGTACCCCTCCCCCTAGGATATTACGTAATATACTGTATGTCACAAATATTAGACTTTTTTGCGTGAAAGATACCAACAAACGGATTTCCTTTTCATTAATTTTATTACCTTGTACAAAGTATTTGGATTGAGATCGCAGCACTACCAAAAATATCAACGATTGGTTCTATCTTATATACGTAAAAGGGCGTAGTGATTAAACAATAGATAAAAGTAGCAAAATTCTTACCGTAGAGCCTATAGTCCCGGGTATTATTCATTGATTTCGTGTAGTGTACCCGGTCCTTAATCACGGGAGGGTATTGTATATTGGGGATACTGTAGGCGGTACTAATCATACAATTAGTTTTCCTTGTCAGTTTATTCATGCAATTTTAATTTCTGTAACTTTTGTAATACAATATCGATATCGATATGGGTATTATTTAGAAAAAAATGATGTACAATTTAATAAAACGCGCGTAAATGTTTAATCATCATATTATCGTTATCCAATCAGTTTATTCATCTTGTAATTTACTAACCTGGCACACATTTCAGGAGTGTGCAAGAGATTCTTGGTAAAATATTAGTATAATTTAGGCTAAAATTATGATGTCATGTTAAGTATTCTCCATGTAATATGCGTGGAATGTAAGAAACTGGAATCTTTTGCAAGCTGGTATGAAATTCCAAGCGAAATCTAAAACCTAAAATTTTTTTGTTTATCAGAATATATATAAAAAATTTTTTCAACAAACCTGTGAAATAATAATATTCATGTATCATATATTGTTATCTTCCATATATAATATGATGTGATCGATTTCAATAATATTTACCTAATTATTGAAATTGGTTTTTTCTCAGTATTGCACATATTTAATCAAATATTTTCAT